ATTTTAAATATCTCCTAATAAATAGGATAACTGAACAGCTTAAGGGTATAGGTAATGTTTGATGTCTCTTTACATTTTTGGAATTTAACATAATTTTTGACATTCATGGACTTTTCATATTTGTTAGCACCATTATATAGATTACATTTCTGGGAGAATATGGATCTTGTTTTAAATAATTATACAACAGCATTCATCATGTGTTTGTGATCACTTTATAATAATCTCTAGAAAAATACTATTTGTGGTGCCTGTCCACTATTATGAAATTAAAATTATGTTAAAGATAAAGTATAAATGTCAATTACAAGACTTTATTGCCATAATCTCAGACATCCTCACAACAATCCAATCAGAGAGTTGTGCCTGCATCTGAATTTCTAAAGTCATTTGAAACTCCCTATTAGCAAGTACATATTCGTACTCATTATAAGACTTCTTGGTATGTCATGCTAATTACTTCTCTGCACTCTAGCTCCCAAACCACAATGAATCCTATTATAAAAGCAAATCACTGCAAACTTTAAACAGCATGCATCCTTGAGATGACACTATTAAAGGAACGACAATGATGGGAAATCTTTGAAGTTATCAGATGTGATGGGAAATACACATTTGTATTTGAGTAAGTCCTGTCGACCAAAGCATTTCCCCCACCTTTAAATAACCTGAAACCAGTTGCAGGTTCCCCAATGCTCTTCAAAGCAGCCCACCTTGGAAGTAATGCTGATGGCATTTCAAATTTCAAGGCAGCTTGTTTTTTCTATCTCAAGACTTTAAGCAGATTTGAATTTTTACTTTTAAAGAGAAAGGATATTACCTATTTTTACCCACACCAGGATCCTCTGGTCTGATAAGCAAAATGTCTTCAGGAATGAACTTAATTGTGGTAATGAAGACATGGTATGTAACCAAGTAGCTCAGAGTTTGAATAATGCAGCAGATTCTAGGGAATTCTAAGCTGTGTTTCAATACTCGGTGCTTCTGTTTGTTCTTGTTCTCGTGTTGATGGCCAAAAGCTGGAATGTGAACTTAGGGCCTGTGGTGGGACAACTGTACACAACTGTAAATAATCCATCCCATCCTGAATGGGGCGTGTGTCAAGCTAAGAACAAAAATCAGTGTGTGCTTCAGCCCTGCACCAACAGGGAGCCTGGGCTGCACATCTCAGAACATTTGTACTATGAACAATCCCTGTAGCTGAAAGGTCAGTCTGTGGCTTCTCAAAAGGCTTCAGATCGGTGCAAATAGCCATTAACCTGTTTGGGCTAAAGAGATACACTGGCCCCAGTGAAGTTCCCCTAGCATTTAATTAGACTTCCTGTAATTGCTTTAAGTAAAAGGGGTGAGGAGAAAGAAAACTAAAGTTATCGTCTTGGGACACAAAATATTTGTGTGCGGTTTTAATATCCTGAGCTCATTTGTTGCTGCTCTGCATTTTGGAAAGAACCATTATACTTCCAAGGAAATACTCACTGCAAAGTTTACCAGCCTTTAGCTGACTGTAAATCACTGCAGTAAGTTTACAGGAAGAGTTTTCTTTCCAGTAAGTGAATTTCTGCATGAAGAGAGAAGGTATAAACAAGTAAAACAAGCAAAAGTATTAAACACCAGAATGTGGAATAAACATTTAAAATGGGGGTAGGTATAGAAAAGCTGTGCTCCATCTTTGCATGGATTTCTACGTATCAGAAAAATGAGAATAATTATGGTAAGATAGGAAAATGAAAGGCCTAAGCAAGGGTCAGGGAAGAGGGAGGAAAGTAGTGTTATCTGTTAATAAATTGTGATTTTTGCTGTAGAGGTCATTTTATTAATTGGACACTGGCTAAAATAATAGACTAATCTTTTCTTGAGGGATGAGGAATTGGGATATTCCACTTGAAAATTCCTTTTAAGCTGATTTCTATATAAACATAAGATGTTTACTGATTTTCAAAACTTTAAAGTAATTTTAAATATAATTAATAAGCTTTGACAATAGAATTGTCACTTCAGGGTCTTGCCCTGCCCACAGATTACAAAACCCACTTTCCTGGGCTTCACTCCAGTTCAGAGACTCATTAGCAGAACCAAGGGCTTTGTCTTTTCTGTGACTCAAGTCCCATCAGCTTTTCATCGGAATCATTCTTTATTCCCCAGTGTGATAGCACCTACTTCTATTGGGTGGCTGTTAATTTCCCTGAATGCTATTACCCCTTTGAGCATGTCCTAGGTTTTAGAGTAAGATCTGGAATGCTCTTTTTTAGATACCTCTAAAGGTATCTCTAGATACCTTTTTCATGGCACCTTATACCAAGAAGTCATAATCAAACATTTTAAGAAAACATAACTTTAGGGAACTAATTAAATTCCAAAGAACTTGTTAAATTGTATATTGTACATGTCATATGTGTGCATATATGTGTGTATACACATATAGATAGATAGATAGATAGATAGATATAGTCTATCCAGAAGGTATCCAGCCATATGCTGTGACAAAGAGACATTTATTGAAGAAGATACAAAATACAAGAAACACTGTACATAAGACAATGACACCTCAGTCCCCTTCAAAGTAGGGCCATTGGGACCTCATGCAGTTCTCCCCATTGCCATCTGCTGCCCCCTCATATTTTCCTGAATCTCATCAATGGTCTGAAATCTTTTCCTTTCCAAAGGTGATTTCAGTTTTAGGAAAAGCTAGAAGTCATTGGGAGCCAAATCTGGGCTATAGTGAAGCTGAATAACCTGGGTAATTTGATGTTTTGCCAACAAACTCTGCATGAGACATGACACATGAGCAGGCACATTGTGGTGATGAACTGCCAGTCACGAGTTCCCCATAGATACAGCCTTCTGAATCATCCAAATAGTTCCCGTAGAGGAAGATTCAAGCTTAACACAAAATTTGATGCAGATTTGTCTCTCTACTCGCTCAATCATTATGAATGCATTGGCCACACAGTACACTGGCTCACTCAACAGTGTCTACCACCCCCACTGACTAATACAGTGAAGTCATCATTATTTACACATGCATATTCCAGTCCACTCTCCTTGGCTGCCAGGTTACAGCAATGTGGCACAAACCATTCTCCTTGTATTAACAATGACAATGGCTGGATTTTCTGCACAGAATACACACACACACACACACACACACATATGTATATATAAATAAATGTATATTTATTTATACATACATATGTGTGCATATGTATATTTTAATTCTCATCTGATTATGTCATATACTTGCTTAAATCACTTTAATGATATCCATAGCTCTCAGGAAGAAGTTTGAAATCCTAAACATGGTGTACAGCAGTGGTTCTCAAACTGTAGCATGCATCAGAATTCTTGGAGGGTTTATTAAAACACAGATCACTGTGACTGATTCTCAAGGTTATTTATTTATTCAGTGAGTCTGAAGTGGGACTCAAGAATTCACATTTCCAATAAATTCAAAGTGATGCTAACAAAACTATTGGGGTTCACATGAAGGACTACTAGTCTACAGGCCTGCATATATGCTGGACCCTTTTCAGCTCCAGTTTCATTTTATGCCAGTTTTCTCTGTGCCCGGGGCTTAATTGTCTTCTTCTGAGACCTCAATCTTCTCATTCTCTTTGCTGCTTCTTCCATATGCCCTGTTCCTCTCCCCACATAATTTAACCAACTCAATCCATGTCGGATCTTTCATTCCCCTTGTTATTCATTCTAGGTGCCCCTATGTGTCTCTTTTGCAGCACTGGACACACTTATAACTAAATAATAAATTGTATAATCTATAGTTAATATATTCCCTCCTCACAATAATATATGTTCATTGAGGACAACCACCATTTTAGTTGTCATTCCCCAAATACCTAGTGCAGTGTCTTTCATATATTTGATCCTTAATAAATATTTGTTCAATGAAGGAATAAATGAATGATAGAAATATGTTTAATCTTTCTTCCTGTGCTCATGATTGACCCAGATAAAATCCTTCCACTCCCTGAGGGAGCCCCTGTCAGTTCTCTCAGCACACACTCCACCTGGAAAGTGCAAGCTCAGTCCTCAGGAGAACTGACAGTTACCCACATGTATCATTTAGACCATTCTTTTTGTTCAGTGTACACACTGCAGAATGGATCTCTGGAAGGTGAATACTCCTAAAATGATCTTTCCAGATTCTCAGTTCATTTTTGTTATTTAACATTATATACTTCTGTGAAACAAATTCCAATTATTCCAGTGTTTTATCTTGGGGCCACTTTATCTTTAAGAGGACTTTGATTACATTACAATTACAGAGAAACATTTGGGCTTTCAAAATATTAAACATAAAAACCTAAAGTCATACATTCTTTAATAGAATAGCAAAGTTTTGTTAACTATGGCTAGTCTATCTTTCAAGAAAAACAGTTGACCTTATTAAATGAAACACAACAGTTGAATTAATTCTGTTCAATAATCACCACATATTTATAATTACTAGGTGATATTACAAAACTTGATATATAGGTGATATATAGGTATATAGATTTATAACTTACACACTTATGATTATAGTTTTAGGTGGTTCTTTCTCATTTCATGTGAATGAAGTCTTTCTGAGAAGATTTAGGTTTGTAATTCTGTGTACAGCATATGGGTATCTTACCCACAACCTGTATGATTGAGATAGAACCCTTAGAAAATGTAAAGTTCAAGTTCACATTTAAATATATGGAAAGAGATAACTTGGTGGAGAATGAATATTAAGCCATATGGGGAAAAGTATAATTTTGTGGAGTGATATATATTCACTTTCATCTTCTGAGAATCCAGAAGATTTGAAATAACAAATAAGAGAATGAAAAAGCTGTGAGTCAAGCAACTGGAGCCAGAGGAAGATCAGAGGAGATGAGAGGCAATATCTGGGATGTTGACCTACGGCTTCAAGAAAGATCACTGAGGGGAAGAAACATGGTATGATATTTTGTATTTCTTTACTATAAATGATCTGACTTAAATCTCCTTTCTTTTGTTAGGTCTCATTGTCCGGGAAGTGAGCATTGAGATTTCACGCCAGCAAGTGGAAGAATTATTTGGGCCTGATGACTACTGGTGCCAGTGTGTGGCCTGGAGCTCAGCGGGCACCACAAAGAGCAGGAAGGCCTATGTGCGCATCGCATGTGAGTCATTGCGCCTGCGCCTACGGGTTTCAGAAACGTGGGAAATAGGAAAGTTTAGACTCACTGCTCTAGTGTCAAAGAAACCTGGTCAAAAACGGCTCTCAGATTTCTGCACTTGAGCTACACTTTTCCCTTAAGTAATCAAAATATTATTTTATTTTTTTGTATCAAGACACTGAGTATTTTTCCTTTCAGGACAGAAAAAAATTAGTGCTGCTTTCCAAAGATTCTGATTTTTTTAAATCTGGTAATAATTAGGTTGGGAAAACCAACTATATTCCTATAATGAGTTTATTCTGCCAGTTTGTTAAGACAATGTTGACTAGTTTTGCTATTGGAAACAAAGAGTACCCAGACAGGGCTTCTCTGTTTACTTTGGAAATGCTCTAGCACATCAGAATTACCACTATTTTCCACACTGTGTTAATTTCTAGAGTATTCATGTTATGGGAGAGCCTCAAAGGTGCCTTGCAAAAAGCGTTTTGTAATCAAATACATGTTGCAAGTATCTTTTTTTGACCAAAGTTATAGAAGTTTCTTTACTGCAAAACTTCTCTGATTCTTTAATATGCTAATATTCAATATGCTAAGTTATATGCTAATATTGTCCCCAAGAAGGAGACACACCCTGCAGCTCTTTCTGCAAACTCCTTTTTTCAATGAACACTATTCACATCTTGAGCAGCACAAATACTGCTATAATCTATATGAAATTGCTATATTGAGAAATTTTCTTAAGTATGAAACCAATGAAATCCATGTAAGTTGTGCTACATGGACCCCTTTGCATGTCTGCATTTTACTAAATATTCTTTTGTGACAGATGCCAATATCACTTATCTCTATGTCACTAAGTTCCAAAAATCTTGGTTCTGATGCTTCCCCAGTTCTATACACTTGCCTCTTCCTGCCCTTCACCTTGATGTAGATAGACCACAGTCATTGCAAAAACTTCCCAGTTAGTGTTTCCTTCCTCCAATCCTTCTTTCATATCACCACAAGTGCAGTAATCCAAAAACTCAGGTTGCGCCTCACTTCTCCCTGCTTAAAATTTTACTGTGGTTTATGTGATAAAGTCAAAATTCCTTACAATAGCATATATCATTATATTAATTTGTTAGGGCTACCATAACAAAATACCACAGACTGGGTGAATTAAACAACAGAAATTTATTTTTAAATATATTTTACTGACTACACTGTTATAGTTTTCCCAGTTTGCCCCCTTTATCCCTCCTCCTGCACCCCCAACCTTCCAGCATTCCCCACCCACTTAGTTCATGTCCATGGGTTGTACATATAAGTTCTTCAACTTCTCCGTTTTCTATACCATTCTTAACCTTTCCTCATCTATTTTATGCCTACCAGTTATCCTTCTTATTCCCTGTACCTTCCCCCCATTCTTCCCCTCCCCTTACCCACTGAAAACCCTCCATGTGATGTCCATTTCTCTGATCCTGTTCCTGTTCTAGTTATTTGCTTAGTATTTGTTTTCGTTGTCATATTTTTTTCCTTAGATTCAGTTGTAGATAGTTGTGACTTTGTTGTCACTTTACTGTTCATAGTTTTTGATCTTCTTCAATTTCTTAGATAAGTCCCTTTAATATTTCATATAATAAGGGCTTGGTGATGATGAACTCCTTTAACTTGACCTTATATGGGAAGCACTTTATCGGCCCTTCCATTCTAAATGAAAGCTTTGCTGGATAGAGTAATCTTGGATGGAGGTCCTTGCCTTTCATGACTTCAAATACTTCTTTCCAGCCCCTCTTTGCCTGCAAGGTTTCTTTTGAGAAATCAGCTGATAGCCTTATGGGCACTCCTTTGTAGGTAACTGTCTCATTTTCTCTTGCTGCTTTTAAGATTCTCTTCTTATCTTTAATCTTGGCTAATTTAATGATGATGTGCCTAGGTATGTCTCTCTTTGGATCCAACTTCTTTGGGACTCTCTGGGCTTCTTGGGCTTCCTAGAAGTCTATTTCTTTTGTCAGATTGGGGAAGTTATTCTTCATTATTTTTTCAAACAAGTTTTCTATTTCTTGCTGTTGTTCTTCTCCTCTGGCACCCATATAATTCGGATACTGGAACCTTTAAAGTTGTCCCAGAGGTTCCTCAGCCTCTCTTCATTTTTATGAATTCTTGTTTCTTCATTCTGTTCCATTTGGATGTTTATTTCTTCATTTTGTTCCAAATCATTGATTTGAGTCCTGGTTTCCTTCTTGGCTCTGTTAGTTCCCTGAATATTTTGCTTTATTTCATTTTGAGTAGCCTTCATTTGTTCTTTTATTTTGTGACCAAGCTCTGTCAGTTCTGTGAGCATCTTGATTACCAGGACTTTAAATTATCTATCAGATAGGTTGGCTATCTCCTCATCCCTTAGCTCTTTTTCTGGAGTTTTGCTCTGTTCTTTCATTTGGGCCATATTTCTTTGTCTCAGTGCCCCTGTTAAATTATAAGGGGGCAGAGCCTTAGGTATTCACATAGGCAGGGCAGCCTTCTTTGCTGCCTGTGGGAGAGGAGCCAGAGAAGGAACAGTGCAACTCACTTTCTCAGCTCTAGCCCACTTTCCAATAAACTCTCATGTGAGACTGGGAGTTTCTCCCACTGCAGCAACCGCCATGGTCCACAGTCAGCTCTGAGTCTCAGTTTCCCCTTCAGCCAGCCCCCACCTTGCTGCAAAGTTGGGTCAGCTGCCTTGCCCCAAGTCCTTTCAGCCATCCCCACCCACACAGTCTGCTGCTTTGCCGAAGGTTCTCTCCGTCCACCTGTCTGCCTGTCTCCCTCCTACCAGTCTGGTTGGTCTGGTTGACTGTTTCTTTAAATCCTTGGTTATTGAAGTTCCATGCAGTTTGATTTTATGGCACTTTTGGTTGTTTATTGATTTTAGATTGATCATTATCCTCCTTTTGGTTGTATGAGGAAGTGAAGGGTTTCTACCTACACTTCCATCTTGGCTGGAACTCAACAGAACTTTATTTCTTATAATTCCGGAAGCCAGAAGTCTGAGATCAAGGCACCAGCAGTATTGATTTCTTCTTTAGGCTCTGCCCTTGACTTCTAGGTGTCTTTACATGGTCTTCTCTTTATAACTGTCCAGGTTCAAATTTCTCTTCTTTATAAGATTATCAGTCATTTTGGATTAAGGCTACCCTAAAGGCCTCATTTTAACTTATTACCTCTTTAAAGATATTCTCTTTGAATAAAGTCACATTGTGAGTTACTAGGGGTTAGGACTTCAACATGTGTATTTTGTGGGAGACACAATTCAGTCCATAACTCCATATTTTATTGTGTACATGTCCAGCCTATGACTGTAGCTCCACCCACCAAGAATTTCTACATTCTAGTCATAGTCCATTAGAAATACTTTGATTTCTATACATTCAGCTGTTGTTCATAATGAAGGGTTTCACCCTTCTCTTCCCTTCATTACTGCTAAAAATTCATTTATTCAATAAATAAATTTATTTTTGCAAATATTTTTGCAAATATTTAGCAAACATGTTCTCTGTTCTTGAAACAATTGTAGGTATTTGGTATGGAACCAGACACAAAACAGGTAATGATCCCTACCCTCCTAGAGCTAATGTTCTGGTGAGGAAGGGCAAACTCTAAATGAAATAAATAATAATTGGATACAGAGCAAGTGGTAAGTTCTATGAACAAAACAGGAAAGGGAACTATGTAGAGCTAGGTGAGGGTGGTCAAGGAAGGCCTCAGGAAGAAGTTGGCAGTGAAGAAACCTGAGGGAAGGGAAGGAAGGAAGCAGGTAAAGGGAGCAGCAAGTGGTACAAGTACAGATAGATACCCAGAGGCAGGGGGCTAGCCAGGTACAAGAAGACCAATTGGCCAGAGTGGTGGAAGAGGGTAAATGAGAGGAGACACTTAGATAACCTGAGAAGGGTAAGGCATAGAGGTAAGGGCAGGAAGGACAGTATGGAGATGGCCTAGGACCCTGTAGGTATAACATCTTCAGTTCTTAGTGAGAGATGAGAAATTTGGAACATTTTCAGCAGAGGAATTTATGGCTTGAATTTTATTTTAGCAGAATCACCTGCCTTCTGTGTTGAGAATAGACCATGAAGGGCAATGATACAAGTAGAAAGACCAGTCATGGGGCTGTAACTGTGAGAGATAATAGGTGAGCATAGATTAGAAGCAGTGGAAGTGTGTGATCTTTATTCAACATATATTTAAAGGCAAAGGAAATGGCTTTTGTTGAGAGATTGGATGTGGTATGTGAACAAGAGGAAAGAATGATTAAAAGAGTGAGCTTTTTAAGGATTAATTTCAAATGTATTTACTGAAGTCGTTTTTTCTTCATAGGTCTATAGGGTGATAGGCATTCCTTTCTCAATACTTTCAGAGCAGTCTGTCTATATTCTTCATTTAGGACTTGTGTCATTTGAATTATATTCAGCTGTCATATCTGTGTGTCATGCCAGTAAGTTCCTTAAGAGGAATGAGGCAGTAGTATTGGGTAGAGGGAGAAAGGAAGCTGTGATGCTTGTACAACAAACAATGAACCATTTTGTCTGTCTGTCTGTTTGTTTGTTTGTTTGTTCAAACATCTGGAGCTCAGATGGCCCTCCAGAGTTGTCCCACCTTGAGACATAGGAAATGAGCAGGCCATTATTCCCTCACATAGACTCGTCAGTGGGTGTGGTGTCCTCCTTTAGCCCCATCCCACCAGCTTGTGTGACTGGGCTCAAGTCAGTTCTTCTCAATGGAGGGCAATTCCAGGGGTGGTGGTGAGCATCTTGACTACCAGCATTCCCAATGGGTAGGGTCAATTATAAAAAGGGGTCTTGTTGGCATACCATAGTTTCCACTACAATTGTCTACCAGAAGTCTTGAAGAATTTATTTTATTAATTATGAAAGGAAAGAAAGTTACTTTCAAACATTTAAAAAAAAAACAAAAAAGTAATTATTTTGGTGAAATATTGAAGTTAATTCAAAATTAGCTTCTAGTTATAATCAAGAGGTACAATGATATAA